ATGTGTTAATTATTGAAACTGTCCTACCAATTTGATTTGAAACTATCTCATTGCTATTTATCAATAAAATTATGGAAAAAAAGATTAAATTATTTTGAATTAATAATTAAATAATTTTGAATTTTACCACAGGTTGTAAAACATAAGCATTCTGCACACTGTGCTTATCCCATCACTCACATAGTATCCACCGGCGCTGACGGTGACCCCTACAACCAGGTAGTAGATCGTATTAGTCCCTGGTGGTCTGGGGACTTTGCTAGTTGACATCCGGCGAAGAGGCACTAGGAGAACAAGTTCCAGCAATTAGCTCCACCACCGAAATAATATCTTTGAAAACCATGAACGCAGAATCTCCCCACAGGGCGTGGTCTTAGCTGCAGGGAATGCAGCAGGCAGTGCGCAGGCAGGGTGCTAACTCCACCTGACATCCTCCCTGCCTGACGTGCCCAGTGCTTATGTGGCCTGTCAGCGCCAGCGGCGCAGGCTGGGGAGGGACAGAAGCGGCTCAGCCATTCTGACAGCCAAATGGGGCGTGAGGGAGCAGAAGAAATCCGCTTAAGCATGGGCTCCCCCACAGGAGTAAGCGGAAGTGATTCTCCAAAAAGGAAATATACTTATGCCTAAAATTTAATAAAACTTTCATTCAGTGTCTGGGAATTGAGCTTAGTGGTACAGATAGAGTGAATGGTTAGCTTGTGCAGGCGCTATTTTTTTTTTTAATTTTTAATTTTTTTTTTTTTTTTTGGAGATGAGGTCTCACACTATGTAGCCCACCCTGGCCCCTCCACTCATGAAGATCTTCCTGCCTCCAAAGGTCCTAGGTTTGGTAGAAATAGAGTGAATTCCCCAGAGCCACAAAATATATTTTTGGCACTGTTAATGTTAAAACAAATATTGATTTTTAAGACCAACATATTTTTATAAATCTATAGTCTAAATGTAAATACCGGAAAAACTCAATGTTTCCAGTACTATAAACGCTGGGCTGATAATATCTTTTTAAAACCAACTATTGCAGAAAGTTCCTTTGAAAATAGAAGTGCAAACTGGGTGTGGTGGTGCACGCCTGTAGTCCCAGCACTCAGGTGGCTGAGGCAGGAGGCTCCCTAGGAATTCGAGGCCAGCCTGGGCTACAAAGTGAGCTCAAGGCCAGCCTGCACTGCATAGTGAGACCGTGCCTCAAAAAGACAAAATAAATAAATAAATTGTAATTCGATGTGAATTGGAGATGTAGTCTTACAACTGGTAGAGGTAACTGCATATTTAGAATTTTAAACTACTATAATTTTACTCCAATTTGGGAAGAAAAATATTTGAAATTTGTGCAAACAAAAATGTGAGCGTTTCTGGCGAGGTGTGGGCCCGGAGAGATTCACCACAGCCTAGGTCGGGGCCGCAGGCCGGCGGCGGGAAGGGAGAAGTACCGGCACCGGGCTGATCCCGCGGAGAGCAAAGCGGAGGGGGAGGACAAAGGAGGGAGGGAGAGGGAGAGACGGAGCGGGAGGGAGGGAGGGAGGGAGGGAGAGGATGGAAGAAGGAAAAGGAGGGAAGGAAAGGGGAAAAGCAGGAGGCAAGGAAAGGGAAGAAGGAGAAAAATGAAAGCAAGCAAGAAAGGAGGAAAGAATAGAAAAGGCGAGAGGGGTCCCGCTGCCCCGGGACCCTCGCCGGGAGACACTGGCCAGGGAATCGCGAGGGCGTGAGGCAGGCGTCTTCTACGTGCGTTTCTTTTCCGTCTGTCTGTCCGTCTCTCTCTTTTTACTTTTTATTGGATTGGGCATTGCGCCAGGGCCTGCGCAGGGAGTTACACCCCAATCCTTTTTTTCATGTTCAGCTTTCCACACAAGGGCTCGCTAAGTTGCCCGGGCTGGGCTCGAACTTGCCGTCTTCCTGCCTCAGCCTCCCGGAGGGCTGGGATCGCAGGCGTGCGCCGCCACGCCGTGCCCTCAAAGTCCCTAAGCACAAGTCAGTCCCGTGAAACTCCCACCCGTGATCGTCCGCGCTGAGCTGACCGAGAGAGAGGCCACCGACGCGCTGCCCGAGGACGGGTCCGGATCCCCCCTCAGCGCCCCGGGATCCCCGCGCCGGCGGGGCGCACTCACCGTCCCTGCCGAGCAGCGCGGGCCTGCGAGGCGCCCGTAGCGGCAGCGCCAGGGTCTTGGCGACCGCTCTGCGCAGCGACATCGTCAGGACCGCGGTGGGGAGCGCTGCGCCTCCGGCCGCCCCGCCTGGCCGCCCCGCCCTCCCAGGCCGGCTGCTTTCCCGCGGGTCCGCAGAGCCTCAGCAGGCGAGGGAGGAGGGGGGTCGGGAGCCAGCAGGCGCTTTCGCCAGCACCGGCACCGGCGGAAAGCCCTGGAGTCCCTCAGGCTCTGAGCAGGTGACTTTATCTCACAACCCGGCTTTGCCTGAGGGAAGGCGAGGGCCACCGCCGGCGGGACCGCTGGACAGCGCTCGCACCGTTCCTCTGTGGGATGGGAAATTAGGATTTCCACACTGACCACAGAGGCCAAATTATTTGCCTCTTTTTCCAGATTTCGATTTTTTGCCTCAATGTGTCTATAAGAATTTGTCGTGGTTTCAATATCGAAACCAATAATGTATACTTATTACATTTTCTGAAGGATTTTTTTTTTTTTTGACAGGGACAATTTCCAATTATAACAATCTTTCCAGTATGTTTGGCATTTGATAGGTTTTGTGTGGTTTTTCAAGACTGGATCTTGGGGCCCGAGGAGAAGGCTCAGTGAAATAAGCGCTTCCCTGGCAAAAGCAACCATAGTCACAACGTAATTCTGGCTGGCCTTGATCTCATTATGTAGCCCCAGTTCTCCTGTTATGTGAGGGTTTCTCAGAAGCTACAGTCCTGGGCCCAATTCTAATAATATCAACACATCCCTTGAAGAATACAAGTTAGCAGTCGGATGTCACTGATACTCAGAAGGTAATTGTGGGCAGCCTTTGTAGCTCAGCAGAAGACTGCGTGCTAGAATGCACAGGTTCTGTGTTCAGTCCCTAGTAATACATTAAAAAGAAGCTGGGGAGATGGCTCAGTAGAATAAGCGCTTGCCTGGCAAGTGCAAGGGGCTGAGTTCAATCCCAGAAAAGTAACAAGGACAAAAAAAAAAAAAA